GGGCTGTTACAGCCCCAAAACGGGCGAGAAAAGCAGGAGATGGTGGAAGAACCCGAACCGAACGGTTCTCAGAAAACCGGCAAGCCCGCGTCCCTTCCCATGGTGTTGCGTCCGGCAGTTGATACATTTCGGTGTAGGCATTGCAAAAGCCTAAAAAGACCAGAACAGAAATGACACGGCCTCTTCCAAACATCTGGTTGATTTCGTGTCCTAAGTGGCATCTGGGGTCAGGCGCGGTACCCTCCCGTTCTCCTCTGCAAAAGAAAAAACCTGTCACACACAGCCTGTCTCGGCGCTGTAAAGTAAGTTTGCCTCCAGCAAACCTGTCAAAGCGCCACATGCGCTGCTGGTTTCTCTCTCGGGTGGCCGTCACTTCGGTTGGTCTTCTTCACTTGTGAAAAACACCCTCAAATGATAAGAAGGCTGCAGGAAAAATGCGTATTGAAGTTTTCTCAGTAACTTGTACTTCACTGCAAGGCACACCTTATCACTTAGAGTAGTAGCCTCTGTCCAAGTTCTCAAAAAATATCTTGTAACACAGAATCTCATGACCTTTTTTGGGGAGGTGTGTGCTCCCACTTTTACTAGTCCATCAGATCAAAACTAATAGGTAAAAACTAATCAGATAAACTGCAGCTAACAATGTCAATAAATAAAACATGTTTTGACCGACTGTCCCTCCTTTTTATTGTTCACTTGATTGAGAATTCATAAAATCAGTTATTTTCAGTCCGTGTGTGCAACTGATAAGCTTACCCTTTTTATTTTTACTTTGCCCTTTCTCAACGTATGGATTGCAGTGATTGTGGGTTTACATGGTAGCTTTAATATTGAAGTGCTAAATACCTCGTTAGTTCTTAAAAAAATCTAGCTCTTCTATACCAAAAGTAGTAATAAGTGCATTCTGAGTTTTGAAAGCATCTAGTAGGGAAACAGAAAATAATAAGGCTTAATACAGAGATAAACATTCCCTGTACAACATAAGAGATGTTCCATTAGTGTTGTAGCTCTTATTGGAACTTTTTCTTCTGCAGAAATGTTATGTGAGCTGCAGACTAATAGAAGAGCACTATGCATGTCTTACTATAGAAGATTGTAACTTCTGTGTTGTTTCTGTCTATTTCAGTGAAAGAAGCTGGAAGAGACTTTACCTATTTCGTTGTGGTGCTTGTTGGAATTGGTGTCACAGGTTATTTTTAAAAAATATATTACCAGATGCTTTTCAGTAATTCCATGTGGTTTCATTAGTTTTCAATTGTGTTTGCTGTTATTTCTGTTACAGGTGGTTTGTTCTACGTGATTTTTAAAGAGCTATTCTCTTCTTCTAGTCCAAGTAAGATCTATGGAGATGCCTTAGAGAAATGCAGATCTCACCCTGAGGTTGGTTTTTGAACATTAATTGTAATGTTTCTCAGTAGTTGCTGCCTCTCTTTGAGTCAAAAGCTTGCACAAGGAATCCCACACACAAAGCTGCAGGAGGACCCACATGGTGCTTAGCAGGCAAATACCAGCAGGCTGCCTGTGCTTTTATGAGGCCAAAGGTGGGTCAGCTCCAAATCGGAGCCCGTATTAGGACAAGTAAATGCCAGCACTGAACCTGAGTGAATTAGCCAAGTGAGTGTGCCACAGCACAACAACTGGTGCAAATAACAGTGTCTGCCCCTTTGTGTCCCCGTACAGAAAGTCTTATAGACATATCTGCATGCATACTAAATGTAATACTTTAAGAGTTCTGCAGCTCAGGGAGGCACCTGGTCCCATTTAACTTCTTTAGATCTAGCCCGTTGCCTTTCCTCAGCACAGTTAGTCCATTGTGACACTACACTGGCCTTCTGTCATTCTGCGAAGCACTGCGTAAATATACGGGGATTTAAACTCTTCATGAGGAACACAGCATTCCCGTGGCTAACAGGAAAAGAGACAGGAAGCAGCCATGTGATCAAAAGGTCACATAAGACATCCCAATGTAAATAAAAATCAATATAAAACTAGATTCTAAGACCCACTACTTCAGGCAGAACAAGAAATGCATGGAATAGCTTTCAGAAAATGTTTCCACAGGTACCATTGGGAGTAACCTAGAAATTAAGTAAAACATTGTCACTAGAACAAGATTGTGGAATTAAAACTTCTCTAGAGTACTTAAATAGTAAAAATCACCCTCACTTTCTAACCAACTTTAAAACTAGGTTAATTCGAACTGGCTTTGTAGATCTGGAAGAAAAAAAAAGCATTTCTTAGAGTCTTTTAGGTAGTGTGAAGGGGAATGTATTTGCATTTTAAACTTTCAGACATACTCTCTTGAAGGAGACAAGCAAATACGTCATGCTTTTTTCTTTTTACACAAAGTGTCAGTAAACTATACAATACACAGAAGAGAGATTAAGATGTCATAATCTCAGAGGACGGCACAATGGAAGGTATTAGTAGGATTTACTTTAAACATTTAATATGTGACTACAGAAAAGTGCTGAAATATAGAATTTTTCTTACACTTTTCTTTCATAAACTCTTCTATTCTTGACACATCAAGAATACTAAGAAGGGGCATTTTGTTAAAAGAAAATGCATTTGCAGCAGGGGCATGAGCTGATACTACAGTATCTGTTTGAATCTGATACCTTCTGTCAACTCAAACCTCTTTTCTCTTGTAGGTAACTGGTGTTTTTGGTGAATCTATTAAAGGTTACGGGGAGGCAACAAGAAGAGGAAGACGACAGTTTGTCAGGTGCCCTTTGGTGTTTGCCGCATACGAACACTAGTTTTTGCACAGCAAAGACACTTTGGGTCACACAGCAAGTTAGATCTAGATTAATGAGCTGTGTGTGATGTACACCGTCAGTTCTGAGTCAAAATGAAAGCAGTTTTTTGTGGTACTTCTTGTGTGACGTGTAGCTCTAACTACAGCACACAAACACACAAAATTGGCATTTTATATTGTCTCAATACAAGCAATGGTCAGCACATTAAGTGTAGAGCAGATTTCTCAAAAAATAGCACCAGTATGAAGAGACCAGTACAGAGGACAAGGCATCTGGGGAGCAGGCATGTGAATGAAGGTCAGCACGTTAAGTGTAGAGCAGATTTCTCAAAAAAAATAGCACCAGTATGAAGAGACCAGTACAGAGGACAAGGCATCTGGGGAGCAAGCATGTGAACGAAGTTTACAGTCTGAAACTCTCAAATAGAGTAGAATTGTTCTTGTAAAACAAATTATGTAAATAAGTAAATATACTATCAGCTTTCCTAGTATCTCATTTCCATCATTTTGAAAGTCTAGTATTTAAATTTTTGAGTTGAGGCCTTTCTAAGAGTTTGTGTCTGCAGTATAAGGATGATCTTAAATGTCTCAAAAATGCAGATTTTTTGTGTGTATGAACACTTGAACATGAATTTACTGCAATAAGGCTCTTGATTCGTCTTTGTTCTCTGTAACCCATCATGTCACCTTAAACTATATTGGAAGTTTAATTCACAGTGTGTATCTGGGCATGACTGGTGGAAATAAGAGCCTAGTAGTATGCAGCAGCTAGTAATTTCAGTATAAACTGCCCCCAAAACTCTAATTTGACCAACAGTTTCTGAACATAGCTACCTCAAAAGTGATGTGACCTTTCTATTTATCTAATAAGTGAGCACAACCTAACTCCAGTTTAAATATCAGCATTTAGGTTGGAGGTCCGATACCAGCATCAAGGTTATGCAACTTCAGTAGAAGAAAGTTATTGCCCAAATACGTAAAGCATATAATAAACTGTTGGTTTTTATATGATTTAACCAACCTGATAATTAAGTTGACAAAAATATTTTTGTGTTTTTGCTTGGTAACTTAAGTTTAGGTGCCTAAAAAAGGCCCCTGGCAGTCTTGCTGATGTGGGTATTCCTTTCTAGATGTCAGTCTCTGAATCTGGGGATTATTCAGAATAAATACAAGGAAATTCCAGAATCTTTAGCCATTGGATTAATGTTGATTTTTGAGGGGAGAGCTGGGTACATTAAAGTACTTCATCTGTTAATCCTCAACTGCTAATTAGTTCTAACTCCACTAGTCCGTAGACACTTACGGTAAAGCTTGGGAAGAGCAGCAGAGAAGGAATCCATGGTAGCATAAAGACTGCATCATCTCACAAAATAGTTAAACTTTTTATTTAGAGGAGCTGCTTAAGTTTGAAAAGTTTAACTAGCTTATAATAAGTATCCTTGGTTGTTTTGTTCTGTTTTGCTGGTTTTAGTCACATTGAATACATAAAGGATGGGCTGAAACATATGCGTTTGAAGTTCTATATTGAGGGCTCGGAATCAGGGAAGCGGGGAACAGTCCATGTGGAAGTCAAAGAGGTATGTACAATTGCTTGATAGAGCCAGCAAGCTTGATCTTGAATTTAAATCACCAAAGAGAAAGAAAACAGCCTGAAATTCTTTTCCTTGCAGAATCCTGAGAAAGGAAGATTTGAGGTCCGCTACATATTTGTGGACGTTGACACCTATCCTAGAAGAACCATTGTCATAGAGGACAACAGATAGCCCGTGATCAAAGTTGCTGCCTGGTCTCATTGAGCCGTGGATGATACTGGCATAGCCAGTCTACACATTAATTGTTTGGTGTTCTTGATTGTATCTTGGAGCTTTGGGGTTGTGTTACAGGAAGTAGGGGCTCAGGGCCTCCATGAAAGTCCTTCGTAGTAACAGATACAGGATTTGAAATGAAGCCAATGAAATATAGTGGAGCCATCACTTATGGCAAATACTTTTAACACAGGAAAATAATGGTTCATAATAATGTCTATGAGCTGGATTGAGTTTACTGCTGGGTAATACTTCTACACACCCAAAAACCGAGTCTTCCAAGATTTTAGGTTTGGATTGGGGAGTTTTTTGTCTTCCTTTGCTTGGATTTCCCACGAGCACTGCAATAAAGAAAGTGGTATTTTAAGTGTAGACACTCACTGTTTTCATTCTGGGTGCCTTTATCTATAAGAAGGTAAAATAAGAATCTGTGATGCAAAGATTAGCCAAAAAGTGTGTAAGGATAGGAACTGTGGAGACACACATATGACTGAAGATAAACACTTAGATTGTCTTCTAAATAAATTAACAGCACACAGAGCAGCAGTACTGTCTGTTCATTCCAGCATCTGCCATGCTGCTCTGCAGTGTTGGAGCTGCTCAGCACTACCCACAGTATTTCCATTAACTAATCTAAATCTTCTGGGAATCAGATTTACATAGGCTTACCCAAACTCAAAAGCTTAACTCATACTCAGATTTCTCACCTAGGTTTCTTCTTTAATGCAGCATGGCAGATAGCAACTATCACCCTGTGTATTAATAATCAGATGCAGTTCTGCTGATCTGTCAAGCAGCACCAGCCAACAAAGTTCAAGCTTTAGCTTCTTACATTTTACCACTTTCTTAAAACACCAACTAATGCATTTTTCTGCAGTTACTTGCCATATCTTATGAGCTTTCTAGTTAACTAGTGAAGTATCCTTACATTAAAGCACACACGAATGTTCAGCTGTCAGCCCTTATTATGAGTTCATTTAATGGTACATTTGGACTGTTCTGAAGTTCATACAGTATTCCCTAACACAATTCTACAATTATTATGTGTAGACCTTTAGTAATACTTTACTAGACTTCAGCCATCCTGTTCACTTGTCTACCAGTAATCTCATTTGCATAATCATAACACCAAAAAATAATGCTTTGCTAGACCTAGGTAACTTTGCTCTGTATTAGTCATTACAAACTTGACTTCAGTCAGATCTGCATATTGTTTGAAAGTATTTTACACATAGTCAAAAGTGATGGAAGTCTGTGTTGGTGGCTCCCTATTGTAAGTATGAGAAATGGTGGTATTTGAGATCATCACCATGATGTGAGTTTGATGAACTTATTTTTACCTACAGTTACTGACATTAATGTCCATCTGGAAAGGAAAGAAAAGAAAATACGAGGTCCTGATTGTTTCCTGGTGCAGTGCTGATCAGTAGCATTACACACCATGTTTACCTGCCCCTGTTTATGTCCAATTGCTATAAGTGTGTGTTGTACCATGGTGGTTACTGAATTCCTAAAAGAGTTCTGTCATGAATGCACTGTTGTCAGAGTACATCATAGAATGTTAGGGGTTGGAAGGGACCTTGAAAAATCGTCCAACTCCCCAGCCGAAGCAGGATCACCTAGAGTAGGTCACAGAGGAACACATCCAGATGGGTTTTCAGTGTCTCCAGAGGAGACTCCACAACCTCCCTGGGCAGCCTGTTCCAGCGCTCTGTCACTCTCACAGTGTCAAGGTTCAAGCCGACTTGGACAAAAAATACCCAACCAAAAAACACGCAGTCTCCAGCTCACTCCTCCCCCCCCACCCCAATTTCCACAGTGATGTAGATGGAGAAAATTCAACTAAAAAGGCTCAGGGCTTTGAGATTAGGGATAGAGAAGGTAATAATCTACCATTTAAGATGACAAGTAAAGAACCAGAGCAACCTGAGGAGAAAGACAGATGCAATTCACCACCACCATTTACAAAATAGGATAGTAAGAGGAATACATCAATAAATATGACCCTATCTTAAATACACTTCAACCCCCCACAGCCCTCCCATCTTGCCAGCTATCTCTTCCCGCCATCAGTGCAAGGGGTGTGGGGGGTGCAGTCCATCTGGCCATGACTCATTGTCCATGGCAGCTCCTCCTTGAGAAAGAGAGCTCCTCACAGCTCACGTGATCTCCGCCTCACAGGAGGCAATCCTCTTCCTCCGTGTGAGTCCCTCGGGGTCAGGATTGCTTCAGGCACGTCCCTCACTGATGCTCAGTCTTTCTCAACTCTCTTATGGGGCTCTGCATGTACCAACCCATCCTGGATGTTCTCACCACTGCTGATTCCCTCGGCCGGCAGGCAATCACCTTCCTGCCACCTCAGCTGCTCAGGCAGCCTCCTCCCTCTCCTCTGGGACTCTTCTCCCCCTCTTTCTTCACAGGATCACTTTCCTTTGTTCTCCTCTCACTTCACCCTCTTCCAACAGAAAAATCTCTCATTAAAGACAGCTCAAAACAAGACTGAGAACAATGAGGTCGTCTCTTAAATGCCAGCGATGGCAGAGGCGCTGATTGGCCTGGCCCTGGCCAGACACAGGTCCAACTCCTGCCTGGGAGTGGCGAAGGCTCTCAAAGTTTCACACAAGCCTACTCCCGCACTTTTACAAAAATACCCAGCCAGACTCAAACCCGTGACACGCAGTGAAAAAGTTTTTCCTAATGCTCTTGTGGAGCTTCCTGTGCTCCAGCTTGCATCCCTTGCCCTGTCATTGGATATCGCCGAGGAGAGCCTGACTCCATCCTCCTGACACTCATCCTTTACATATTTATAAACATTTATGAGGTCACCCCTCAGTCTCCTCTTCTCCAAGCTGAAAAAACACAGCTCCTTCAGCCTCTCTTCGTAAGAGAGATGTCCCACTCCCTTCATCATCTTTGTGGCTCTGCACTGGACTCTCTTGAGCTGAGGGGCCCAGAACTGGACACAATATTCCAGATGTGGCCTCACAAGGGCAGAGCAGAGGAGAAGAACCTCTCTCAACTGACTAGCCACACCCCGTCTATAACACCCCAGGATGCCATTGGCCTTCTTGGCCACAAGGGCACATTGCTGGCTTATGGTCATCCTGCTGTCCACTAGAACCCCAGGTCCCTTTACCCTATGCTGTTCTCCAGCAGGTCAGTCCCCAACCTATACTGGTACATGGGATTGTTCTTTCCCAGATGCAAGACTCTACACTGCCCTTTTTGTATTTCATTAAATTTCTCCCCGCCCAACTCTCCACCCTGTCTAGGTCTCTCTGAATGGCAGCACAGCCTACTGGTGTGTCAGCCACTCCTCCCAGTTTTGTGTCATTAGCCAACTTGCTGGCAGTGCACTCTATTCCCTCATCCACGTCATTGATGAATATATTGAATAGTACTGGTCCTGGTACCGACACCTGAGGGACTCCACTAGATACAGGCCTCCACTCTCTGACTTCTTTCCCTCAACCATTTCACAACCCACCTCATTACTTGATAATCCAGACCACACTTCCTCAGTTTAGCTATGAGGATGCTGTGGGACAGAGTGGCAAATGTTTTACTGAAATCCAGATAAACCACATCCACTGCACAGCCACCATCCATCCACCTTTGTGCATCTTCATAAAAGGGTATCAGGTTGGTCAAACATGACTTAACAAAGCTATGCTGACTGCTCCTAATGACCCTCTTATCTTTGATGTGCCTAGAGACAGCACCAAGGATAAGTTGTTCCATCACCTTCCCAGGGACAGAGGTGAGACTGACCAGTCTGTAGTTAGCCTTTTTGAAGGCTGGAGTGACATTTGCTTTCCTCCAGTCCTCAGGCATCTCACCTGTTGCCCATAACTTACCAAAGATGATGGAGAGTGGCCTAGGAATGACTTCCACCAGAACCCTCAGCACCCATGAGTGCATCCCATCAGGGCCCATGGATTTGTGAACATTCAGATTGCCTGACCGATCCCTAACCCAGTCCTCATCAACCAGGGCAAACTCCTCCTTTATCCGGACTTCCTCTGAGGCTTCAGGGCTCTGGGGCTCCTGAGGACAGTCTCCAGCGGTATAGACAGAGGCAAAGAAGGCATTCAGTAACTTTGTCTTCTCTGTCTCCAGGGCATCCACCTCATTCAGCCGTGGACCTACATTGCTTCTAGTGTTAGTTTTGTCACAGAATTGCCTAGATTGGAAAAGACCTAATATCAAGTCCGATCACTAACCTACTGCTGACCAGTCCTCAGCTAAACCATATGCCTTAAGCACGTTGTCTACAGGACTATTAAATACCTGCCCTGATCAACCCATTCCAATGCCCAATAACCCTTTTGGTAAAGAAATTCTTTCTAATATCCAATCTAAACTTCACTTGGCACAACCTGAGGCTATTCCCTCTTGTCCTGTCACTTGTTGAACAGACCAATCCTCACCTCCCTACAACCTCCTTTCAAGGTAGTTGTAGAGGGTGTTAAGGTCTCCCCTCAGCCTCCTTTTCTCCAGTCTAAAAAACCCCAGTTCCCTCAGCCACTCCTCATAATACTTGTGCTCTAGACCTTTCACCAGCTTTGTTGCCCTTCTCCGAACATGCTCCAACACCTCAGCATCCTTCTCGGTGTGAGGGACCCAAAACTGAACACAGTACTCAAGACGTGGTCTCATCAGTGGGTAAAATCACTTCCCCGGTCAGACACATTGCAAGCTATGCAAGTTTATAATCTAGTATAAAGATTACTAGTCTTAAACCCATGCTATACCTTGATAAAAACATAATCATTCCTCTCTTACAAGGTGAGACTATATAAATACACAGTTAAAACTAGAAAATGTAATGCTATTTTTGTCCTTCCCTTAGGAGTTTCTACCATATCAACCTGCCTGAAAGCCACTGTAAACCTCTATGTCAACAACAGAACTGACAGACTAGCATTCCTCTTGTAACAGCTTCCCAGCTTTGCTTT